TGCCCTTTTGCGACAGGGCACGGCGGGATTGGACAGCACCGTCCCACGAAAGGTCTTGCGCACATACACACTCTCATGCCACTGTCGCCCCCGGAGTGGGGTGTAAAACCCAAATTCCTGCTGCTTTTTGCATTGGCGCAATTATTTTTTTATCAACTGACGTCATTCTGTCCGGCGTGTCACTTTGATTGGATTGTGTGGAAGTGCTCGCCGACGTCATCGAACAAAACAGTATGAAGACTTCACGTATTTAACCGCCGTCTTGCGCGTACGTATTTTTTTTTTACGTTCTGTTGATGTGCACTCAAACAGCAAGGTGTCCGGAACTATGCGTGCGTGGAGTTTGTCCTGCCATGTGGACTGCAGGCAGCACCGAGGGGCTGTCACTTTGACTCCGCAGAGTTGTTGTGTCTCTTTGCAGGGCTGGCAGGGAAATTGCATGCAGCCTGCTACTGCTGGTGTGTTCCCAAATGTCACTCCATGCGAATAATGTGCTTCAGCGAGTGAGGGTGTTGATTGGGTTTGTGTGCACTCGGATTCTGTTTGCTACTTTGTGCGGGCACGCAACACTTGGGTAGTGGGAAAATGGAGCGGGGGATGCATGGCTGCGTCCCGCCCATCGTTCAGTGCACGATGGTGTGGTGCAAATTGTGGTGTTGACTCTCCAATGTGACTGCGGTATCCTGCGCGGCAATGGTGGTGGGTGGACGAGAGTGTTGGCCCGCGGCGGGACGGTGGGATCGTGCCTCCTTTTCTCTTTGTTCCTTCCCTTTTGTGAAGGTGTGCACTTATTTTCAGTGTTAGCAATGGGGCAAACAGACCGACAGACTAAGTGAATAAAACAAAATAAAAATGGGCGATAGTGTGGCGGTGTTGTGGTTGGTTGCACGTTGCGTTGCTGCGGGGGCGGTGGGCCTCGACTGTTTTGCCGACAGGCGTTGCAGTGCGGCCGCATGGTGCACCGACCACCGAGCCGTGCGGGTGCCACGCCCAACGCCATTGCGACTGCGGGACGAAACAGCCGCGACTGTCCTTTGGAGCCAGCGGCACCTGCTGGCCGCAGTTGGGCGGTGCGAATGGGATGCTTCACCGCACGGGTGTTGTGATGGCAGCTCGCCGTGGCTCTTGTGATGGTTCCGACGCTGCAGCTCGACATGTGGTGGGGGAGTAAAGTGTGGTCGCAGTGGACCATGAGCAGCACCAACATGAGGCTGAGTGATTTCCTTTGGAATTATGTTGGCGGCAGGGCGACCGTTGACGAAAGACTAAAATTTGACGGTGGAGATGTTTGTTCAGGAGCCGGATGATTACGTACAAGACCAGCGGCTTCTTGAAGAAATTCTTAACTTAACTGCGTGCCAAGCGCTGGAGGCCATTACTAAGCCTCTTCACGAAGGTGTGCTCTCTCTTGGGCAATGGAGGGACTATGAAAGAAAAGGATACGATCACTCCTCTTGCAAGGGGAACACCAAACGGGGTACTCACGCAGGTACTGACAGAAGCGAGGCGGGAGGCAGCGGAAAGGCTAAGACGAACGCAGGAAATGAAATTTGCCATTTCCACTAATATCGAAGAGGTACTGTTTAAAGGAAGAGCTCGCGTCAATGAAATGAGGCTGAACGACTTTCTTACGAGGGAACTGGACGGCAGGGCATTGTGGACACCAATCGGGATGGCTTGCTGGAGGAGTTTTTCAGGGACCCCACGAAGTATATCCGTGATAAGGGAGTATTGAACGAAATACAAGCATCGGATCGTTATTTGTGTATGAAGCGAGCTGTAAAGGGTGAAGTGATCTTCGATGAGGATATACGCAAGCTATGCGATAAGGGTGTCAACAATCTACCGGGGTGGTCATTGGCTGCTGTGAAGGTAAAGACAGCTGTTCATAACTCCAATAAACATTTCTTGGATGCAGCTGCCGAGGAAGCGAGGAACCCAACGACGACGAGCGCACCGAAGAAACTGGAGGGATTGTACGAGTCTGTGCACAATGCGAGGTGGAGCCATGTAGTGGAGGAAGTTCCTGGAGGCGAGGGGACGGGAATGGAAGTGAGGGAGGGGAAGCCGGAACAGTCATGGCCGTACAGGGAGGCTGACGACGTTATCGAAGAGGATGACGCTGTGCAGCAATTCGGTGCAGCACCTCCCGTGTTGATGGTGCTTGCCTCGGAGAAGGGATGGCCGTACTCGTGGCATACGATACAGGATCTTCCTAAGGACGTTTTTGTGAACCGTGAGGTGGATCGAGTGTGGCGGATCGTCAAGGGCGATGTAACCGAGTGGCTCAGCCCTCACGGTGGGACCGACTTTAAGTTTGAGCGACGTGTGTTGATTGGGGCGCCCGGGATTGGGAAGTCGATGGCTGCCGGCTCGTACCTCCTTTACCAGCTGCTGCACTGCGATGCCGAGAAAATCCAGGTGGTGGTCCACCGTTTTGGTGGAGGAGATGCGTACGTGTCTGACAAGACCGCCAGAGTGGTGACAAGATGCAGCGATGAGGACATGTGCATCTCGGAGTTGAGAAGTTTGAGGGGGCATGGGAGGAATGTGTATATTATCTACGGTGTGGCAAAGGAGGGAACGCCGCCACCGAGACATTTTGCGCCTACTTCTGGATGGGGCGTGATTGCGGTGTCATCCCCAAAGGTAGCCAACTATGATGAGTGGGCGAAGCAACTACAGGCCGCGCGAGTCATCGTGAATTGCCCCGACGAGACGGATGTGAAGGCGATGTGCGCCTGAATAACGCGTGGTGAGACCAAAGAGAAACAAGCGGAATGCTGGAAAGAGGTCAACAGCACATGTATCTTTTGGGACCGATTCCACGTCACGTCTTTGATGAGGAGGCGTTTAATGAACGCTATGGAGCGGTGAAGTTTGCATTGCAATCGATCAACGAGGTAACTGCGAAAGAGCACTTTTCACGGGGAGGTGAGTCGCCATGGTATTCTGAGGATCCGTCCCACAAGCTTGTGAAGGTTGTTCGGGAAATATACGCAGGCGGTGTGACCCTTTTCAGTGCACCGATATCTGCTTGCCTCGAGGAACGGACATTGGAACGGTTCCCAAGTGTAGCAGAATAAAATAGCTTTTTGAGGATGATGCTGGCGTCGAAGGATAATATTTTGCCCATATTTTTTTGGATGGTTTGCTTTGAAATCGTTCACGGAGAGTGCCTTTGTCAAGGTAATAGCGACGAAACTCACGGAGTTTGAGCCGCCAACAGGACGTCAAGCAAAGCCCTGCGTCTTGAATTTGGCCCTGAATTGCATCCCAAGGGAGATGAGGGTTTGCTGCCGCGTGAATATGAAAAAACGATTCGTAAAATAAAGTAAGGGGTGCTGTACACACCGTGGGACACAAACTTTTTGCTGGTGGACGCCCTTTTTTCTCGGAGTCCAATCCAATGACGGTGGTTGGGCTGCGGATGACTACGGCGGGTGGGCACCACACCACCGCCAGCACTGTGAGGCAGTTCACTGATTGCCTGGCGGCATATTTTAATGGTTGGGGGAAGTTATCTCGAGACTTGTCGTGGGAGTTTATTTATTTGCAGCACGAGATATGCAGGCCGATGAATGACTGGCAGAGATGTGATGTCGTCGATTCCAATAATGTGGGCGAAATTGAAAGCCGTGAGATTGCGGCGTTCTGGAAGGAAGAGGTGCGCCAGTACCAAGTGTCAATATCGTACATAGACTTTTGCGGATATGCAGCTCACCGCAGTGAGGAAGAACCGTTGAAATATGAAAACAAATTAGGGAGGGAAAGGGGTAGTTCTGATTTCTGGTAAAAAGTACTGTGGGATTTATGTATTTTTGGATACTTGTGTGTGTGCATACGGTGCGGGCGCACCAGCATCAGGCGACAGTATATCGCACAGATTTCAGGACTGTCCAACGCTATCGAACATAACAGTGGCAGAAGAAATTAGGGAGGGAAAAGGGTTGTTTGGATTCTGGTGAAAAACATTGGGTGATCTTTATATAGCATGTTGATTGTGTGCGTATACGAGGCATAATTGGAGAATTGCCCGGTATGAGAGAATCATTGTAGCTGGCGGTATGGCATAATTACAGCATGTTTATTTTCTTCTATTGTGTTCGAAGGCCCATCAATAACAGAAGCAGCTTTAAGGGATGGAAGAAGAATAAGATCTATTGAGGACACAGTGCACTCCGTGTGACCGCATGGAGTGAGGCACCGCTTCATTGGGCGGATGAGGAATCGCTTCTGCGCGTGGCCCATTGGGTGATTGCTCGCTCCGTGTGCGTAGTGTGTTGGCTGCGGGCTGTGGCCGTGTCTCGTTGTCCGTGGGATTGAGCTGGAGGCGGTGGCGGTGTGTCTCTTCTCGTCCCCGTCCATGGTGGTTGGCTGCTGGCGGTGTGTGCGTTTGTTGTGTGGAGGGCCGAATCCTCTCGCCCGCGGACTGACAGCACTGCGATGGTGTTTGTGTGAGGGCTGGTGTGGAGTTGCCGGCCAGGATGAGGACCGTGGCGGTGCTTTTCCCGCAATTTGTTTCTTTTGTGTGTGTTGTGCTGCTTCTTGCTTTTCCCCCTCTCATCCTTTTCTCCTGTGTTCCTGCGTGGAGTGGCCGCATGCTCACGGGCCGTGTTGATTGTGAGTGCCTCCTGACGGCATCCATTTCCCTCTCTCTCTTCACCTCTCTGTTTTTCCCTGTTGGGTGTGGCGTGTTGCACCGCGTGAGGGCTGGCCCGCACACACCGACGGCCCCCCGTGACTTGCCGTGTTGCTGCTCTTTTCTGTGTGCGATGGTTCTCCGTGCTGTTCCTTCCGGATTTTCTTGTGCCCCGCTCTCTGCGTGGGTGCTTTTTTCTGCTCCTCACGGACGTGCCTGATGTATTGCCGCTGTTGCTGCTGTACTCCTCTCCACTTCTTTCACTCTCTCACGAAGAAAGCAAGCGCTAATCGCTACTGTGAAATTGTAAGGCTTTGAAAGGACTAACAACACACACACCGCCCACACACACATTTGTATGCTCTCACGTATTGCTGCTGTGAAGGCACTTTGCACAGACAACCGTTGCCGCATGACCGGATGCAGCGGAAGGAGGAGGGAAGGAAGAGAGAGTGGGCAGCAGAGGCCCAACATGTCCCGGCGTGTGTTTGCTTCCGCGGTGCTACTCCTTGTCGTGATGGTGTGCTTTGGCAGTGGAGCTGCGCACGCGGTGGAGAGTAATTCGGGGGATGCGCAGCTGCCGAATGAGGTTGCTATTCTTGTGCCAGAGAAGACGCTGGTGGTGTCAAAAGGTGGGAAGGGCCAAAGTACAACGAGGGTTTCGTTTGTTTCACCCTCTCTCGTCCGTGCTGGTGGAGTGATGACTGTGCTTGCCGAGGGTTGGATCAAGTATACTGGATCGCACAAAACATCGAGTGAGCTTGGTTCTGCCGATATTGTGGCTGGGTACATCAGCGCTGCGGAGACGTGGCCATCCATTGTCGCTGAGGTCACTAGCACGGAATGGAGGGCACACACTGTCCTTGGCGATGGGAATGGCGATGATCTTGTGGGCGTTTTGCGAAATCCCACATCAGTTGGAGTGGACAATAAGGCGTTCCTACTTGTGGGAAATTATAGTATAAAATTTGACGCTACTAAAAAGATTTGGCAGGAGGTTGGCTGGGATATTCGAATGCTTGTGGGTGAGGCCACGCACTCCTTATCCAGCGGTCGGGGTGAATGGATCGAATGGGCTGCACCCATATCACTGATGTCACTGATCCCCGAAGAGCTTAAAAGTGAACTGAAGGAATTTATGGGTGGTGGTGGCTCAGGCATTGTGACGTACGACGACACGATTGTGTTTCCTCTGACAGCGAGGAATCAAAATGGTTACCCTGTCTCCTTGCTCATTTATTCGAAGGATAAAGGCAACAGCTGGGTGGTCCCAAAGGGCGTTTCTCCTGTGGACTGCTTTGGCCCCCGCATCATCGAATGGGATTATGGGACACTTCTCATGGTTACTGACTGTTTGGATGGCCGCAAGGTGTTTGAGTCGAATGACATGGGGGAATCGTGGACGGAGGCTGTCGGGGCACTCTCATGGCTGTCGACAGACGCGCCACCTGACCCTTACGGCAGGAGGTATCTTTTGGGATCTATCATTACTGCTATCATTGAGGGAAATAATTTAGTTCTGTACACTCAGAAGGGGAGGTACCCTCCGGGGGAGCGTGGTTTACCCAATGCGTTCTATCTTTGGGCGACGAACGGCAACCGCACGTTTCATACTGGACGGCTTTCTGTGGACGATAAGGAGAATAAGGCGACTGCCAACACCCTGCTGTACTCAGGTGATGCGTTGCACCTTGCAGAGGCGAGGGGTACTGCAACGATCAGCACAATATACTTTTCCCGCCTGACGGAGGAACTGGAGATTATCAAGTCTCTCGTGAGGACCTGGGAACGAATGGACGCCTTCTTCTCCATGTCGCATACACCCACGGATGGACTGGTTGGATTCTTGTCCAATACAGCCATCGGCCCAAAATGGATGGACGAATACCTTTGCGTGAATGCAACGGTGACGAATGGAGTGAAAGTCCAAGATGGATTTAAATTCCCGGGGGATGGATCCGGGGCAACATGGCCCGTGAACAGTCGGAAGGATAATGTGCCGTACACCTTTGCGAATAAAAGATTTACTCTTGTGGCGACGGTGGTCATCAACGAGCTAAAAACAGGTGGCAGCAGCAATCCTCTGCTGGGTGCGGTGCTGGATGAACCCGTCAGTCAGTTTCTTATTGGGGTGTCGTACAACACGGGGGGTAAGTGGGAGACAGTGTTCAAAGGCAAAACAACAACACAGAGCAGCACTTGGGAGACGGGGAAAAGATACCAGGTGGTGCTGATGCTATCGGAGAATGAGGGCTCTGTTTACGTGAATGGTGAGCTTGTGGGGAGCTCGGAGACGATACCAACAAGTAAGGAACGAGTGTTCGAAGTCTCGCACTTCCAAATTGGGGGCGACGAAAGAGGCCGCAGCGGCGATGTGACGGTGATGGACGTCTTTCTGTACAACCGCCGACTGACTGAGGATGAACTGAAAACGCTCAGGAAAGGCGGTGACGGCTCCATGCGTGGGGGCGTGTCACGGGTGCTCATGCTGCTGCTGCTGGGGCTGTGCGGCATTGCGGTCCTTTACTGAGAAGCCGCAACGAGGACTTCCTGCCTGCAGCAGGGAGCAATATGTGTCTTTCCACGCACCCTCCGAATTAATTGTCGTTTCGCGCGGACACATTTTTTTGTAATTCCTTATTCCTTATTTTATTTTATTGTTTTATTTTGGCAACGACGTCTATTTTTCTGCGAGCGTGGGGAAAGAGTGTTGGCGAGGAAAGCTGGCCACCTAATTTAATATATCCTGATAAGACGAAGGTGTTACTGTACGACTCTTTCCTATTTTTTGTATCTTTGGCTGACCGCGATGGAAGGAGTGACGAAAGTGCCAGCGGCGCAGACGAACGCCTGCTTTATTTTGATTTTTATTTTTATTTTGGCCGTCCCACCCGCCCCTTTTGTTTTTTGACTCCCACCGCTTGCGGTGGGGTCTTGTGGCTGGAGGATTTTTAGTTCTGCCACGTCGTAATTAAGAAATATCTCCAGCTTGAGTAGAGTGCGGCGTGTCGCGACGGTGGCGGTCCAAATATATATCTGTACGCATGCATGGAATAAACATCGGGGGTATGGCGAGGGCACTGTCTCTCTATTGCTCCCTTCTTTTCTTCCGTCCTATTTTATTTAATTTATTTCAGGATTCAGCTAGCGGCGCAGACGAATGTTTTTTCATTTATTTATTTATTTTACTTGTTGTGGTGTGGTGCCCCTTTCCTGCCCTTTCTTCTGTCTCCTTATATTTGGCAGAACCCCTTGAGCGGAGCGGGATCTTCCTTTTGTTTCTGTCCGCCGACCGCCGACGCTCTCGGCACTGCCTGCTACGCCGGTGGTGGTGGTGGTGAAAAAAACGAGAATGAAATAAAACTGGCATGGGAATTGCAGAGGCGCGCCGGGAGTGCACCAGTGGAATATAAATGGCTTGTGTGCACGGGGGTTAGGGCGGCCAAAACGAACTTATCTTTTTTCCTTTCAGAAAGCGTAATGGGGAAAAAAAGAACATTTTTATTTTGGCGCATTTCTTGTGTTTTGCCACCGCTGGAGCTCTGGTGCGGTCACGAGTTTCGCCAGTTCTCTTCTTCCTTCATCCCCCTGCACCTCTGCCGTGTGTGTGTTGTGTCTCCTGGCATGCTTTTATCTTTTTTTTTTTTGCGTAAATGCAGGCACAGACAGCCACACGCACAAGACGCACAAAATATTGCGATGTCCACGGACGATCGTCTATCATTTCTCCTCCGGCAGTCTGTTGCCGCCTTTTTCCGTGGACATGAAGAAGGGAGAGGCACCGGGAGAGGGCAATACTGCGGTTCTCCTCCATTTTGTGTGCAGCGCACCGCACGCAGCACAGTTGCTTTGAAATGCAGCACCGCCCGGTACATCGATGGTGCACGAGGTGAGAGACGATTCTTTTCCGCCGTTGGTGTACGTGATTGTGCGTCTGCGGCGGAGTTGGCCCTTTTTGCGCGTTTGTGTCTCTTCTGTAGATGTGCGATGGCGGTGACGGTGGAGGAACTTTTTTTACTGCACTTTTGTGCGTTGCTGTTGGTGACCCCTGCGGGTGTGCGTGTGGCCCCAAAACAAAGTTGTTCGAGGGCTCACCTGTCGGCACGGTGGCCGCAGCGTGTGGCTGTCACTCTCTTTTCTTGGGAATATGCCGTGACTCTTTTACGTGCTTGTTGTTTCGGGGTCAATGTGCTGGTGGCTGTGTGATTGCCGGGTGGAGGGAGAGGAGCGGAAGGAGGTGCGTGGGTGCAGCGGTCAAGGATCGCGCTGGGTGTCTCGCCGCGGAGGGCATTGCCCGCCCAGCCTAGCACTGCTCCTGCCGGACACCCTCTCTCTCACTCTCTGCAGGATTGTAATCGACGCCACCAGCACGCAACGAGGCAGCGCATGCCACCACCGCCACGAGTGCAACCCGAAGGGGACACGTTTGCTGTTGCGTTCCGAGAGGGGCACACCGTGTGGCACAGTGGCGTGCCCAAAACCTTCTCGCGGAGTCCGCACACGACACCGGGCACTGGCCGCGGAGTTTCTGCGTCATGAAGGATACTGCGGTGGAGTCCCTCCTCCCTGCAGGTGGACGGACGCCTGATTTTCCTTTTGTTCTTACTCAGGCGGATGGCTGCACGATGACACCACAACGAGGCAGTTGTTTTCACGATGGAGGGGCAACATCTGCAGGGTTACGCATTGGGAATATGAACGGCGAATGCAGTAAGAATGGTAGTGTAATGGCTCTTTTTTGCCGCGCGAATTGCGGCGATTTTTCATAAGGCATGCGAATTGCACTTTTTTTTGTTGTGTGGGAATTACCGTGATGCATCGCTGTTGTGGCGTGTAGGATTTGGGGTTTCTGCGTGTGGCCGTTGCTGCACCGAATTCTCCTTCCACTTTTGTGGGTTTGTACGTGTCAGTGACGATATGCCCACGTCCTCTTGCAGAGTGTGTACTGTGACGGTGGTGCCACAGGGGTGCGGGACCGTGGCGAGCGGAATGCGTGGGCGAACCCTCCGTGCACACCATGTTGTTATTATTGTTTGCTCTCACCAACACTGTGCTGGGTGGATGCTATCCACGGGCCGTCTTTGTGGTGGTCCTCGTGCATGTGCTGTGCATCGCACATTTTTTGGATTTTTTCCTTGTTGTGGGTACCAGTAATTTCTGTGCGTAATTTCCTTCATTCCTATTCCTCTCCCTTTTGATTGGTTGTCAGTATTCAGCTTTAACTCGATCCAACTAAGAAAACAAGGAAAAACAATTTCTTGTGGGCGTAAGAGAGTGCAAGGTGGCAATGTGGAGACCCAAGCGTCTACTGTGCCGCAGGGAGATGGTCAGAGGAGAGCGGGGCCGGAGCTGGAGGGTGTCACAGGTCAACCCGCTGCAACCCGCAGAAGAGCGAAGAGGGCGCGACGACCAGTGTGGACCATGAGCAGCACCGTAAGGGACACCCTGCTGGAGGGAAACACTGGAATGGCCAACATGAAGCTCAATGATTTTCTTCGGAATTAAGTTGGCGGCGGGGCGGCCGTTGATGAAGACCACAATGTTACGATGGAGGTGTTTGTCCAGGAGCCGGATGATTACGTAAAAGACCAGCAGATTTTTGATGAGATCCATAATTTAACAGAGTACCAAGTGCTAGAAGGGAGGGGGATACTATTGGAGGCTACTACTAGTCTTGAAGGAGAAGGCGTGTTCATTCTTGAAGAATGGAGGGACTTTGGAAGAAAGGATGCGGTCACTCTTCTTGCAAGGGAAAAACTATACAAGATTCTCACCCACGTACTGAAAGAAAAAATGATTGAGGCAAAAGGAAGAGCACGGGAACAACGAGAACTAGAATTTACTATTTCCACTAATATCAAAGATGTACTGTTTAACGGCTGTCCCTGTTTCATGGAAATAAGGCTGAATGATTTTCTTGCGTTGAAATTGTGCGGCCGGGCATTTTGCGCGCCAATCGGAATGTCTTGTTGAAGGAGTTATTCGGGAACCCTCGAAGTATATCCGTGATGCGGGAGTATTGGTCAAAATACAGGCATCAGTTGGTTATGCGTTGATGGATATTGCCGTATGGAATGAAATGGTTTTTGATGAGGATATACGCAAGCTTCACGAGAATGGTGTACGCAAACTATTTGAGTGGTCAGAAGCTGCTGCGGACGTAAAAGCAAGTGTTGAACGCATCACTAAACAGTTTTTGGATGCAGCCGTCATTGAATCGATGAGCCCAATGACGAAGAGCGCACCGATGAAACTGGAGGGATGCTACGGGTCTGTGTACAATGCGAGGTGGCACCCTGTGGTGGAAGTTTCCGACGGCGAGGGGAGGCGAATGTATGTGAGGGAGGGGGAACCACCGCAGTCATGGAAGTAAATGGCTGTTGGCTAAACCCTTGAAAGGAATGACGGTGTGCGGCAATCCGGTGCACCACGTCTCAGGCTGATGGTGCTCACTTCGGACAAGGGATGGCCGTACTCGTGGAAGGAGGATGAATCCACTCGTGACTGCTACGTGAACTGTGAGGCGGAGCGAGTGTGGAATATCGTCAAAAAGGATCTAACCAAGTGGTTCAGCACTCACCGTGGGTCCTAATCTGCGCCTGAGCCGCGTGTGTTGATTGGGACGTCCGGGATTGGGAAGTCGATGAATGCCGGTTCGTACCTCCTCTACCAGCTGCTGCACTACAATGCGGAGAAGCTCCCAATGGTTGCGTACTTTATTGGGAATCGAACATTTCTGTTCGACAAAATCGCAAAAACGGTGTCAGTGTACATGGGTGAGGCCAGTATCCTGAATATTGTGGGTGGCTTCGCTCGGCGTGGGTTTAAGGGGTATATTATCTACGGTGTGGCAATGAAGGGTCATCAACCGTCTATTGGTTTGCCTTGCAAGGGATGGGGCATGATTGTGGTGACACCACCAGACAAAAACAACTACGAATGGTGGACGAAGCAAATGGGGGCGGAAGAATTCATAATTAATTGTCCCGAAGAAAACGATGTGAAGGCAATGTGCTCTTGGATGAAGCGCAATCAGATTCCGCAGGAGCAAGCGGAATACTGGAAGGAGGTGAGTGGTCGCATGAATAAAGTGGGACCAATTCTCCGCTTCATCTTTGGTAAACAGACATATGATGACCGCATTAAAGCGTGTCAGCAGGCCGTGGATGGGTCGACCGCCTCGGAATTGGAGCGTAATTTGGGTATTGGCTGCTGTTACTCGTCCAATGACAGCGAATTGTCTCGAAAGCTTGTGAAGGTTGTCCGAATACGACGAGAATACAACATTGAATCGCCTCTGAATGTACTGATATCTCCCCACGTCGAACGCGAAACATTGTCCCGGCTGGAGAATGAAATGAAGCAGTCCGATTTTATTTTGCTTGTTTTGAGGTTCTGGGATTATGTCCCACCATATATTATTGGAAAGTATGCCGTATCTGCGTTTTTGAACAAGAATTTGCTGCGTGCGATAAGACTTAGAATCAAGGAACTGAGGCTACCAGGACGAGGTGAGTCACACAGGTGTGCGCTGAAAGTGCACTCAGGCAAGAGCTTCACCAGAAAAGAGGTTCTACCGCCACCGGAACGTCTTTCCAATCCGGTTGCCATGGAACATTGGGTGCTGTATGAGCCGAAAGTCAAAAACTTTCCGCTGGTGGACGCCTTTTTCTTTGTGGACACAAATCCGAAGACGCTGGTTGGGCTGCGGATGTCTACGGCAAGTAAGCACCGCACCACAACCAGCGCTGTGAGGCGGTTCACTGAGTGCCTGGCGGCATATTTTAATGGTTGGGAGGAGTTATCCCGAGACCTGTCGTGGGAGATGATTTATGTGCAGCACGCAGACAGCACGCCGATGACTGGCTGGCGGAGATGTGATGTCGTCAATTCCAATAATGTGGGCGACGATGAAAACCGAGAGATTGCGGCGTTCTGTAGGGAAAAGGTGCGCCAGTACATAGCAGCGGTATCATCCGCTGACGCCAGAAGAGGCGAAGCTCTCCGAGGTGCGGAAGAACGAAATAGGAGAAAGAATTAGGGAATAAAAGGAGTAGTTTTGATTTCTGGTAAATAAAATATTGTGGGATTTATTTTTGGATACTTGTGTGCATACGGTGCGGGTGCACCCGCACCAGACGGCAGTATACCACACAGATTCCAAAAATGCCCAGCTCTATCGAACATAACAGTGACCGAAGAAATTAGGGAGGGAGTGGGGTTGTTTGTTTTCTGGTAAGGAACATTGGGTGATTTTCATACAGCATGTTAATTGTGTGTGCATAAGAGGCATAATCGTGGAATTGCCCCGGTATGAGAAAACCATTGTAGCTGGCGGTGGTATGGTGTTGCTGCATTTTCCATTTTATTCTATCGTGTTTCAAGACCCACCAATAACAGAAGCATATTTAAGGGATGAACAAAGAATAAGTTGTATTGATGAAATGGTGCACCCCGTGTAACCGTACGGAGTGGGGCACCGCGTCATGGATGGATAAGGATCCGTTTCCACGTGTTGCTCTTTGGGTGATTGTTCGCTCGCTGTGCGTTGTGTGTTGGCAGCGGGCTGTGGCCGTATCCCGTTGGCCGCGGGAATGAGCTGGAGGCGGTGGCGTTGTGTTTCTTTTCCTCGCCCATTGTGGGTGAATGCGGGCGGTGTGCGCGTTTTTTGTGTGGAGGGCCGAATTCTCCCACGCGCGGTCTGGCAGCACTGCGATTTGTGTGCGTGTGTGTGTGTGAGGGCTGGTGTGGGCGATGGTGCTCCGCGCTGTTCCTTCCGGATTGTCTTGTTTCCCGCTCTCCGCATGGGTGCTCTGCTCTGCTCCCCACGGACGTGTCTGATGTATTGCCGCTTTTTTCTTCTTCACTTATTGAGCACTGACACACGCTAGGAAGGAAAGTAAACAAACGAAAAACGCCACTGTGAGTTTTGAAGGCACTGAAAGGACTAACAACACACACACCGCCCACACACATATTTATATGCTCTCACGTGTTGCTGCAGTGAAGGCACCCCGCACAGACAACCGTCGCCGCGTGACCGGATCCCGCGGAAAGAGAAAGGGAGGAAGAGAGAGTGAGCAACAGAGGCCCAACATGTCCCGGCGTGTGTTTACTTCCGCGGTGCTGCTTCTCCTTGTCGTTATGATGTGCTGCGGCACCTATGGAGCTGTGGCTGCTGGAGGGAATAATGGGAAGAGTGATTTGAGGAATATTCATAAGCTGCAGGGAGTCGATCTATTTGTGCCGCAGATGACGCTGGTGCTGCCGAAAGATGGGACTGTTCCAGTTACGACGAGGGATTCATTTGCTACACCCTCTCTCGTCAGTGCTGGTGGAGTAATTGCTGCTTTTGCCGAAGGTCACGTGAAGGCCCAAAATACCGCTGATGCCCAATTAGATGGGTCTTCTCCTGATGTTGTTGCAGGGTACATTGACTCTGCGTGGGGTTGGTCTACTCTTGTTGGCAAGGTCAATCAAAGTACATGGAGGGCACACACCGTGCTTGGTACAACGGATGGAGCGGATAATCGTGTGGAGTTTTTTTACAGCCCCACAACCACCACAAAGGGTAATAAGGTGTTTCTTCTTACGGGAAGCTCTCTTTGGTCCAAGTTAAGCGGAAGATTTTATTGGGACAGATTGGCCCTCAAACTGGTTGTGGGTACTGTCACGAATTCTACGGGCGGCAAGCCGAGTAAACGGATTGTGTGGGGTGCGCCCAAATTGCTGTTAAGCGTTAACATTTCCGCTGCTTCTTACGAAAGTAAATTTGAAAGCTTTTCTCCTTCTGGTGGCTCAGGTGTTCTGATGGAGGATGGCGCGCTCGTGTTTCCCGTGTTTGCGTTTGATGAAGAAAATGACGGTTTCTCCATGATCATTTACTCGACGGACAACGGCGCAAACTGGATGCTTTCGAATGGAACGTCACCTGCGAAATGCGAGACTCCCCGCGTCACCGAATGGAAGGGATCACTTCTCATGATTGTTGATTGCGAGAACGACCAGAAGGTGTACGAGTCGCGTGACGTGGGTGCAACGTGGACGGAGGCCATCGGGACACTCCCGGGCGTGTGGACCAAGTCAAAATCGAAAGTCATTGTGGATCGGAGCTTTTATGTGGAAGCCCTCATCACCGCGACCATTGAGGGCAGGAAGGTCATGCTGTACACTCAGCGAGGGTACGCCTCGGGGAATGAAACGGAAAGAGCGCTCTATCTTTGGGTCACGGACAGCATCCGCTCTTTTTGTGTTGGACCGGTTGCCGTGAGGGATCGTAAGAATTGGTTGTTTACCAGCAACCTGCTGTACTCGGATGGCAATTTGCATCTTTTACATCAGAGGGAAAAAGATGAAGGCAGTGCCTTGTCGCTTTCTCGTCTGACGGAGGAGCTGAGTACGATCAATTCTGTCCTCAGTACTTGGTCGCAAAAGGACGCCTTCTTCTCCAACTTGACCATACCCACGGCGGGCCTGGTGGCAGTATTGTCCAACGCATTGTCCGGTGATGACACGTGGATCGACGAGTACCTTTGCTTGAATGCGACGGTGACGCCTAATGCAAAGAAGGTCAGATATGGATTTCAACTGACGGAGCCCGACTCCAGGGTAATGTGGCCTGTGAACACTCGGGGTGATAATGTGCGCCATGTATCCTTGAGCCACAACTTCACACTTGTGGCTTCGGTGACCATCGAAGAGACTCCGAGTGGGAACACTCCTCTACTGACCGCGACGTTGGCGGACACCAATTCCAATCATACCGTGGGACTGTCGTATACGGCGGATAGGACGTGGGGGACGGGGCTCAAAGGAAAGAAAACAACACAGAGCGGCAGTTGGGAGCCGAAGAAGGGATACCAAGTGGCACTCATGCTGCAAGGCAAAAAGGCCTCTGTGTACATTGATGGTAAGTTGCAGAGGCAGGAAGAGGTGCCGTTAACGGGTGAGAGGCAACTTGAGCTTGTACGCTTTTGCTTTGGCGCGTGCGGTGAGGATGCCGGCCAGAAAACTAAGGTGACGGTGAAAAACGTCTTTCTGTACAACCACCCACTGAATTCCACTGAGATAAATGCACTCAAGGACAAGGCCCACACTTTGAATGGCCCGGGGGGAGCACTGGCGGGGTGGGCAGCTCTGGAGGGAGCTGCCGCCAGAGAACATGCGGCTGTGGTGGGCTTGACATCTGCTGGGAGCGGACTGCTGCCGCTGCTTCTTCTGCTGGTACTGTGGGTATTTGCGGCTGCGTGAGGAGCGTGCGCCCTCAGTGCGGAACACTTTCACCCTTCCCTGTAGGACACACACACCGCTAGGAATATATTTTACTTTGTGAAGAATAATTTGTTTTTGCTTTCTTTTAATGTTTTCCATTTTCCCCTTGCTGCTTTGGGGCAACCACGGACTTTTTCTTTTTTACTGTTCCCTCTTTTAATTTTTTTTTTCTGTTTGGAGTATAATTTCTTATGTTTTTTTATGTTTTTTTATAATCATTTTTGTTTCGCTTTTTCAAAACTATTTTTAAAGTTTCTTCATCCCTTTTTTTGCTTTTGGGGCAATCGCTAAGGAAGCACGATGGACGTTTTCTTTTCTACTTTTTAAATTGTTTCTTCTGCGCTCTTCCTGTAAGGAGTGCCGTGTGTTTCCGCCCAACTGCTCCGCTCGCACACCCACCGACACGCTCATGACGACGGCCCTGTGCGCCTCGCCTGCTGCACGCATGAGGAGGGGCCGCGACGAACGGCGCGCTGAGGGAGCCGTGACGTGTGGGCGTGCGACGAGGGCCTGTGGGGCGGAGCACACATTTCTTTCCCTCTTGTTTTGTTTTCTTGCGGTCAGGGCGGGCAGACACCCGCAGCGTCACACACACAGCCACACCCTGCCGCCGTGTTTTTAAGATTTCTTTTTTTTTTGCTGCGCTCACTTTCCCGATGGAGTGACGCGACTCCCGTCATGTCTGCGTGCTTCTCTCAGCCTCCACACACACGAGTGACTGTGCTCTGCGGGCCGCACTCACGCGCCGATGAGAGGGCTGAGGGGAGCAGCAACACGCCGATGACTCCGTGAAATATAAACGATGCGCGGACGCACATGGAGGGTCAGACGGTTGAAAGACACGTAACCATCTTTTTAATTTTCTTTTGTGGGCAAAATATATACGGACAGTTTGGTGTGGCCACACGGTAACCAGGTGAAATTTTTTTGTGTGTGGTTTTTCTTTTTCTTTTTTCTTTTTTATTATTTGTGTGTAGCTGTAATAAAGGACGACATTTTTCAATCTTTTTTTTTCTTGTTTCTTTTTTTCATTCTTTTTTTCCTTTTTTTTTTCCAAAGCGTGAGGGGTGGAAAGGTGAAGATGAATTTTTTAAAATTTTAATAAATTTTTTAATGAATTGCCGCTGCTTTCCGCCATGGACCCCTGCTGTGCATTTGTGTTTGTGCGTCCCTTCAGATGCTTTACGCCTCTTCTCTTTTTTCTCTTTCCTTTTTTCCTACTTTGTTGAGCGTGGCAGTGGGCGCACACAGCCACACGCGCAGGACACACACATTGCAGTGCAGTTGGAAGCTTCCTTTGTACTCGGTGCTGGCAGTTGCGTGCAGCTGCCGCTTCCTTCCGTGGGCGTGAGGGGAAAGGAGGAGAGAGAGTGCGCACCGCGAGTCTTTTTTTCTGTTGACGTGATGCACTTCGTGTAACCGCGTGGGGTGAGGCGCCGCGTCGTGGATGGATAAGGATCCGCCTGCGCGTGTGGCTCTTTGGGTGATTGCTGGCTCCGTGTGCGTTGTGTGTTGTCTGCAGGGTTGTGGTCGTATGCTGTTTGCAGCGGGATTGAACTGGAGGCGGTGGCGGTGTGTCGCTTTTCTCCTTCTGCATGGTGGGCGACTGCTGTCTTGTGCATTTGTTGTGTGGAGGCCGTCTCGCTGTTTATGCAAGCAGTGGGTCGCGACCTCCATGGAAGGCCGCATCCTTTCAGCCCGGGTTTATACGCCGTTGTGCGGTGTATTTGGAAATGTCGTTTGTTGTGCACACGAGTGCCGGGCATTTTTTGCCGGAGCGTTGGGCGGCCCGGGAGTTGGGGGCACGCAAGGGCTTCTCGTTGCTGAGTGGGAGCGTTTGAGCACCGACTACGCCAAAGCCGTTGCGGACGTACAGACTCGGAGTGCTCAGATTTACTCTCAGAAGGAAGAGGCGATCAACTACTGCTCGGCACGTGAAACTGACATTGCGGTGGTTGGCGGCCCTTTTGCGTAAGGCGGAGACGCTGTGTCAACGAGAGACGCCCACCTCTTTGGAGAGGGCCGCCAGGTGAATCCCCACGCACGTCCGAAGCCGGCGCAACTACGCGGTCACATTAACCGCATCGTTTGATGTCCGGGGGCGTGTCAGTGTCCACGCCTCCCCAACGCATTCTTACGGGAGGGAGGTGGCGGTTTTAACACCCAGGCGTCTCAGGGCAAATTTTGGGAGACCACATCTTTCCCACCTGACGAACATGCCTTCCCGCACCTCCTTGGACGCCCATTCCGGTACAGAGGATCAGGTACTGCATTTCGTTGCATTCGGCGTCGCCACCTGGGCCCTGCGCATATGGAATGAGGGCATCTCCGTAGTCATCGCCTATCTTCTGAGCGCATACAGTTATTATTGGCACCAGGCGGATGCTCAGGCTCAACTTGCCTTTGACAGTCTGTTATCGTGGACACGAGCACTGGATATGGATTGGTATCCCACGGATTGTTTTAAGGATTTTTGCAGGGCCCTACTGCAGGCATTCCGGATGCAGACCATGATAACAAGCGGCCCAGCATCCCGCTTTCTTAATTTTGCACCCGCATTTGCACGCAACAACAGCGATTGTTGTGACGCCAATTGTGTCATATTTGTGGACACGACGCATATACATGCAACGTGCGCGGCGTAGCCGGGAGGAATTGCTCGCAGCACGGAATACGGCAGCCCCCCCACCTCCCACCAATCCGCAGAGACTTCGCACCGCACCGCCGACGCTCCATCCGATATTTTAAATTGCCCGACGCAATCGTTGAGAAGGGCAATGGAGCTTATCCGCCAACGACGCTCGACTGTGGTACGACGAGACACCGACATCTCTGCTTTGGGCCGGCCACACAAGGAGGGCGAACGAGGTCGCTCGAGAGATGTGGGCGCCGTCAAAGTGGAAGCAGAGAATGCCCCTAGTGGGCAATTTTCAACGCTTTTTTTTTGCTGCACGCACGAACGGCCGATGAACGAGGAGAGTTGTGCGGTCTTTTTGGTGGCAATATTAGATGCGGCGCCATCGAACCGACCGCGGCACACCAGGATGCTGCGGTCCATGTTGGAAATGAATCAAACCCCGCTGGAAATGGTGATTCTGGGGTTACATAAAATTGCGGCGCGATCGGAGACGAAACAGGCGCGCCCCTTGACAAAGGAAGGGTTGAATCAAGTAATCCGCAGCCGGACCGATTGGAGGGAACGTGTTGTCTTACGACTCGCGTGGATAACGGCGAGTCGTTGGTCCGAGATTGCGGCCTTGACTCCCAACAATTTCACAATGGAGCCGAACGGGACCTTAATTTTGTATTGGCCCGTGGCACCGAAGACGGCGAGAGCGGATCCCCACTACGTTTCGCGGTTCGTGGGGATGCGAGGGCAGGACGCCTTCGACATTATAAAGCTCTGTATGACACTTTGAAACAACGGAAGGCTCACGAACCTGACGACTGCCCAGGTGGAACGAGCTCTGGCTCCTTGGATGCCACGGCGCATTCCACAAAACGCGGTGTGTTGCGGCACGCTGCTCAAATCGTGGAGACGCATAATTTGGACCCACAGCTGATCTCGCAGTTGGCGAAGCACGTCGACCCGTTCGACCTTCCCCAGAACACAGTTCGGTATTTGGGGAAGTGCACCACAATGCTGACCCAGGTATCGTCGCTGGCCGCATTGATGTGAAGGGAGAAGCTGCGGAAGGGCAGGAACCCTGGCTGAGAGCGGAGGAGCGTTTTTTCCATGATTTTTACCATTATTCTGCCACAATTACGAGACGCGCGACAAGGACGCGTCCGGTCACCCCACAAGATGAACGAAACATCCCACCACAGCAAGTCAACGTGCCCGTATTGAATCTAGAGTGGATCAAAAGTCGGTTGAACCCGGCTGCATTGGAGAGTCTCATGCAAGTTTGGGGACTCGTCGGGCGGTCCCCTTTCCCTCCGTCTTCCTCCGGTAAAGCGCGCGAAGGCTCACGAAGCATTCCGACCGCTGACGCGCGATTGTTACGAAAATCAAGAATAATCGAGGACGCTTCGTCCACAATAACAGGCGGATGGATAATACCTTTCTCGGTTGTGGAGGAGAAAACCACCGGCTTAAGACGACGATGGATCGCGTGGCCACGCGACAAGAACAGAGACGACCCTTACGAGGCGAATTTTCCTCTTTTACATATTTCCCATTATTTGCCGCCTGTGATGGCTGAGGCCGCTTCCTGCCTGGACTTAAAGGCGTCCTTTTTTAAAGTCTCTTTACCGCGGGAGACTCGGCATCTCTTTCGATGCCGCGTGGAGGACGACACGCTGGTGGAGCTCACACGGCTCCCTATGGGATACAAGGCCGGCCCAGAAATTCTCCAGATTACTATTGCTTCGGCAATTGCGGGGTGACGACGGTGGTTTACCGCCTCCGGGCCGCACCTCCATTGGTGCGTGTCGACGTTTGGATCGGTAATATACGCATTGCAGGGTCGAAAAGCGATGTGACATTGTGGGAAGCCCAAGTGCTTCGTAATGCGGACAGTTGTCACGCATCCTTGAGGGAGGACGGCGAATCGGGCGCTACGCATTACACCTTCCTGGGGGTGCAGTTTGATCATACTCGCCAGGCGGTATCTCTGAGTGCCAAGTTTGTCCGCTCTGTACGCGCCATGCCGGCGCTGAATTCTTTGACCATCGCGGGAGTGGAGGTTATGGCGTCACGCTTTTACTATGCGGCTGCCACTTTGTGCACGCGTTTATGTGACTACTACTTTTTCATCAAGGCAGTGCAACGACGATTATCGGCACTTAACCGGGGGATTGTGCTGGAGACATCCCCGGCAAACCTTCCGCCGTCAGAGGCTGGTTTGGGCGAGAGATTACGTCAAATGATCGAGAATCATCGTAGGCGAATCATCAAGCCCACGGAAAAGTCATCGGCCGCCCTCATCACGGATGCATCGCTCCATGGATGGTGAGCTGTTTTTATTACACAATCAGGCGACGTTAAAATTCCCGGGGAAAGGTGGAGGAGGAAGTCTTTTCTTATCATGCAGGCCGATGCTTGCGCGGTACGCTTAGCCTTGTCGGCCTTTTCCGCCATTTTGCCATCCACCATGGACGTTTGGGTGAAAAATACTGTTTCAAGGAGCGGCGAATAAAGGCAGCCCCAAAATCACACTCCATTACGTGGGAGCTACGACGGATGAGTTTTTGGACTCTTACGGAGTACAGACAACCTTTGCCTACGTGCGGTCTGCAGAAAACCCCGCAGACGGCATATCACGCGGTCGTGTTTTTGCACTTCAGGAATTGGCGAAGGGTAGAACTTGCGAAGGGGAGCGACGGTGTCTTGTGGCTGCAGGACCACAAAGTCTGCCACCTAGTAATAAATAAATAAATATTCTTTCGGAATAGAGTGAACGGGCCACAATTGAGGCTAACGTATGGTATAATATATATACACTTACTAGGTGTAAACTTTGGGAATGTGGTGAATCCACTCTTATCCCATTTATTCCTTTCTTATTCCTATCTGGTTTGGTTTCTATTATTGATAAACTCATGATCCGGCCAGCTGCCCAGAAGATTATTCTATTTTATTTATCGATCTATCTATCTATGTGTGCTTATATATTTCCTGTGAAAGGATTCTTTTCTATGGAAATGCCCTTGCGAGCGCTTGCCAATCTTTTTTGCATTGATTACTTCTTTACATTTTTTTATTATTGTTTTTCATGTCTAACTCTGCCGCTGGGTTTTATTACAGGAAAAGAAAAGGGCTCAAACGGATGGAGACCCCTATGGTGGCGCTGCCTTTTGTTGTTTGCGCCCAATAGGCCAATAAAAAAAGAAGATTCGGCCATTGCGCCAAGGTGCTGATTGATGTACTGTTTCTTGTGGTTGTTTTTTGCGGTGGTGGTGGGGGAGGTGATTGGGGAAATACTGGGCAAGAAATGTGACTTGAAATCCTGAACTGCGTTTTCTGGATGTCTGGATGGTTGTCGCCCTGAGCTATAACAATTCTCTGCATTGAAGAACAGTTATTTTATATTTTTGTGCCTGCGACGTCTTTATGCTGAACTGAAGTCTCTTTTCTTATTCGCGGGTGTCGATAGGACAGTTTAAAATATGCTTGCTGTTTTCGGGCATGTAGGATGTCTGGTGACTGTGCTTTTTTTTTGGGAGTTTACATGAGAGGAGTGGGGATTGAGCGGTGCGGGATATGTGGTGGGTGCCGCAGGCTTGTTGGCCCGCGATTTGGGTGCCCTCCAAAATTCATTACACTTTGGGCTCCTCAACGAGCAATTTTATTCTTTATGGAATCATGTGCCATTACAAATGACACCCTCGACTGTTGTGTTCCGCCATCCTTTTTTTTTTTTTTTTACGGGATGTATGAGAGCTTTGCATGCTGCGGCGAGAACTGCATTTGTTACTGTGCCATTGGTCTCTTTTTTCCTTTTGTTTTCATTCCTAGCCTTTTTTTACTCTTGTTGCTTATTTTATTACTGGTCATGTTGAGACTCCTGCGTGCTCCGTGCCTCCACCTCACTCACCAAATGGAGGTGCATGACCATTGCTTGGGAAGGAGTCTTTTTTTTTTGTTCAAATTCACGCAGAACCATCATTGAGCGCATTTTTCTTTTTTAATTCTTTTTTTTCTTTTAGGAGATGCTCCCTTGGCTTTGCCTCCAACGGGGTATGCGCGGAGTTACACGCATTTTAAAAACCGAAGCCACGAGCCCTTTTTGGAAAAAATGCTTTATCTTTCTTCTAACATTAAATTTTTTGTCCATGTTGATGGTTTTTTTTTTTGGAGTGGAGTTCCTACTTGGCGACGATCCCGCGTATGGTTTTGGTGTTGATCCGACCAGGGCGGACTATATCCACTGCGTCGGGGAAAGGCTTCTGGTGGATCCAACGACACGGTGGATGGGGGGAAATAACGGGACGGACGTTATCCCGTTGATGGTGGTCCCGCTGATGCTCGATCTGATGGACTTTCGGAGGATGATGTGCAACATCAATGTGCCCATCCGGCTGTTGGTTTTGGTGCAGAACGGGCGGGAGGCGATGCTGTCGTTGTACCTGCAGGAACTCGAGAGGGTCTATGGGTGGTCCGGACGCCTGGTTGTGAGTCGTCACCCGGAAAACATCGGGTACAGCGCTGCCGTGAACATTGGGTTACGACTTGCACTCTCGCTGCCGCGCGAGGAAGTGCCTTTTGTTTTTGTGACAAACAGCGACGTAGAGTTTTCACCCGATCTTCTTCCCAGCCTTCTACGCGATGTGCATGAAATGACGAGGCATGATGCCGCTCGCATGGATGAATTGGCGGCGGAAGTGGCGAATGAGCCGAGCGAGTACAGTCCTGTTTTGCGACGGGGCTTGAGGGTGCTGCGCTCCACGGTGAAAGATGACCGATTGTCGACGTCTGCGCTGCTGCCTGACCGCATCCGTTATGCTTCTGCGAAGGAGCGTGAAAAGGCGTTTTCGAAGCATTACGGGCACTTCTGCGCGTATTACAAAAGCAGTTGTTTTACATCTGTTATGTTGACACGCCTGGCGATCAGCACGGTGGGATATTTTGACGAGAACTTCTACCCAGCTTACGTGGAGGATGTCGACTACGGCTTGCGTCTCCGTTTGCTTGGATTTCAGGAGCGGAATGTCTTATACGGCAAATTCGCGCATCGCAGCAGCTATAATATTCGTCTATCTAATAAAGTGGAGCTACCGGACGCCCTCTGGTACCGTCGCGTCAGGTCTTTGAGTGCGAACGATGCATATGCCATGATGAAGTGGAACCGTCCACGGGCGTGCTGTGGCGGGTACAAAGAACCATATGACGGCATGGTCCCCCTAGACGTTTGGGTGAAGGATGAGGCACGCATACAACGCATTCGGGCCTACGGGCATGATGAGGAGCAAGGAGTCCCAAAGGTTGAGTACGACAGGACTCTTTTGCATCCTGTAAGGACGAAAGGAAGATGAACTTGCGTCGGTCGCAAGTTTTGTGTTTTTGTTATTTTATTTTATTTTTTACTTGAATTATAAAAAGTTTTTTTTTCTTATATTTACACAAATGATATTTGAGCGAGTACGCCATGGGTTTTAAAGAGCGCAAAAACATATGTTTGGCGTGACGGGGGGAGGGCGCAGCGTCCAAAACTTGGCAGTGTTGCCGATGGTAGGAGAGGGAAGTAGCAATTAAGAAAAATGAAGATGATGGATGAGGGAGAAATAAAAGGGGAGGGAAGCAGAAAACAAGCCAAAAATATTGTGGGCACAACGCTGTTTCTCACCGTGGGCGATCGACACCGCAATTGCCTACTAATTTACCCACTGAAGGTGACACCCGTTTTCGCTGAATATGCCGCGTGCATATCTGTCGGACTCTTTTTTTGTTCTTTTGGTTTGTTTGTCTCCTTTACATTTATTTCTCCATGCCGCCTGACCCACTCGTTTATTATTCCCCTCCCTGTTTTGTGCGTGCACCGAGAGAAGGGCTGAGGGACATGAAGTACGCTCCCCTTCTGTGAGATGCCACCAAAAACAAGAGGAGAACAAAAAGAAAAGTGAAGTGGGGAGGGGAACTATCGCCACGCGTCCTTTTCTCCGAGAAGGCTGCTCGCCACGCCGCTGAGGCGCGCCGTGTGCTTCACGAGGCCCGCTGGACTTGATTGGGGTGCCGTGAGTGATGGTGCGTGAGAGTGTGGCGGATGCGTCTCCCAGGCGTCCCCAGAGGACCCTCGGGCCATAGGGACTGCGTGGAATGCGGGATTCCGCGGGGATATTTGGCCGTTTTGTTTTTATTCCTCCATCCGCCCATCCCATACCTCAACACGGCGGCTTAGCCAACGACTGCGACGGGATCCGTTGCGTATTTCTGATTCTTTTTTGCGTTGCAGCGGCAGACCTGGTGCGTCCTGCTCGGCAGACACGGTGGACGGGAGTGGGCTGCCCTATCGGGAAAACAATGGTCACGGCGGAGCGTGTTGCGTACTTCGCAATTTGGTGTGTTTGTGGCGATCCTTGCGGATGGTGTGACGGCGCCTTTTTTACTTGCGGGGATAGAAGCGATGCTCCACGGTGGTGCACACGTTGCGGGTGGAGGCTTCTCTTGCTGTTGTCCTGTGAAAGTTTTTTTAATTTTGCTGGAACACCACAGAGGGCGGAGTCTGCGGACAGCAGAGCATTGCGAGGAGGGGCATCACACGATTTTTGGCGTGATGAGCCAGCTGCCCGGATGATTATTCGGTGTTTATTTCCGGGACTGAGAGACGATCCCTTGCTGGAATGTATTGTGGGAGACCATCCGCGTATATATATATTTTTCAATCCCTTGGCATTTGGTGTCTGCCGCGAAATGGATGTTGATGGCCGTTTTATGGCGGCGAGATGCATTTTTATGTATTTTATTGGCGAGTGGGTGAATTGTGTTGCGTTCTGCCATGCGGCTTGTTGCTGACGGCACGTGGCTCCAGGGAGACGTTATGAGCGCCTCCGACACGAGGTGCGATTGAGCAATCACCTCCTCCGCTCGCCGGTACACGCTGTTGAGGCGGCGTGGTGGTAATGAATCGGCCTCTCAGGAAAGCAACGAGAGGACGTCCGCTCTTCCTACTGCGGTGTACGAGTGAACCTCCAATCCGTGGGCGGGGTTGCCCTGTGTGCCGTATTTCTTTGGAATTCAATGAGTTTTTTACATTGCCATCCACACGCACATGCACGCAATCCCCCTGTTTGCCCTCCTTTGGGCGGGAGACCGGGATGCAAAGGGAAAATGTGGCCTGTGCCAGCATGTGGTAAAGTCTTTCTTGGGAGAGATTGCGACTGTGATGCACGTCCTGGCAGGCAGGAATGGGATGAGAGGGGAGCAGAGGGGCGAGTAACAGCGATCGTGTGCGGGGCAATGCGCAGTGACTAGGGCGGAGTGGTATTTATGTTGACTTTTCAAAGCATTTTTTTCTTTTTCTTTTGTGGCAATGGAAAGAAACTTTGGGTGATGTGTTGTGGATTATTTGCACATGATTCAGCGTGGCAACACCATTTGCGGAGAAAATGAATGACATCTGCGTGAGGCTTGTTTTGTGAGCGCGAGGTGGTCGGGGAGGTGTTCAACGCCCCGAGAGGCCAGGAGCAAAGAGGCGTGGACTGCTGCAAGCAGAGGGATGCACGCTCCTGTTGGTGGCGTTGCTTTGAAGCCCTGAAGTGCCTGCAGGGAATTTGTTTCCGTCGCCTCATTATTTTATTGATTGGTGCTTGCCGCGGCCTTTTGAGGCGGAGCGTGGGATGGACCGAGAGAGCGTGTGTCGTGTGACTGTGCTGTGAATTGGTGCCGCCCACGTTTGTGCACATAATTCCGTTTGTGTCCGCGTCCTTGCCGCGGGAGTGCACCGGGAGCGTGTGACCGATCACTGTATCACTTGCAGACTGTTTTGGCAGGACTTTGAATGGCGTCGCCGAATAATAAAACTCCGCTTGCATGTGTGTATGTGCGTGTGTTGGCTTCCGCCGTGTTTCGTCGTGTTTTTTTTTTCTGTGTGCAATTGTTTTCCATGCTGTTCCTTCCGGATTTTCTTGTGCCCCACTCTCTGCGTGGGTGCTTTTTTCTGCTCCTCACTGACGTGCCTGATGTATTGCCGCTGTTGCTGCTGTACTCCTCTCCACTTCTTGAACACAGACACGCTAGGAAAAAAGGAAAGCAAGCGCTAATCGCTACTGTGAAATTGTAAGGCTTTGAAAGGACCAACAACAGCACACACCGCCCACACACATATTTATATGCTCTCACGTGTTGCTGCAGTGAAGGCACTTCGCACACACAACCGTCGCCGCGTGACCGGATGCAGCGGAAGGAGGAGGGAAAGAAGAGAGAGTGAGCCGCAGAGGTCCAACATGTCCCGGCATCTGTTTATTTTTGCGGTGCTGCTCCTCCTTGTCGTGTTGACGTGCGCCGCTGCTGGGCCTGTGCAGGCCCAAAACTATGGAACGAGAGTGGACGATTCCTATGGAAGACACAGTTTGGAGCGGTTGCCAAGGGAGTATCCAGTCGTAAACACAGCGGCCGCTGGCCACATTTTCCACAATCCCATCTTGTGAATGTGGACTGGATGCTCCTGGCCATTGTTGGAGCTCAGTTCAATAGAACTGTGGGGAGCGGGAGTGCGTCCATGCAGTTGATGGCATGGATCAGCGTTGATGGTGGGAGGACGTGGCAGTCGTACGCGGGGCCAGAAGATCGTGACGCTTTTTCTGCACACCCTTACCGGTTGCCGTTTCCCTCGTCTTTTGGACCATTCGGACCGCTTTTTGCTTTTGTGGAGGGCTACGACTTACGGAAGGGGGCCATAATTCGGTTTCCCGATGAGCGGAGAAGTGGTGTGGAGTCTGTTATCCATTTTCTGGAGACGGGGCCTGGACGAAGCGGAGGTTTGTCGATGAATTCCTTCTCTGTGAGCATTCGCCCTCCCTATCCCTATAAATCCGACGAATTGATTGGCTTCCTCAACGATGCCAGCACTCCCATCACGAGAATGAAGGATGGCACGCTCGTGTTTCCCGTGCAGTTTCTGACATTTGGAGGGGACACTGCGTCCACGGTCATGTACTGGAATTCTGTTTAACC